GGCGCTACCTCAAGAAGGGCCACTACGCACAGCGCGTCAGCTCCGGTGCCCCCGTCTACCTCGCGGTCGTCCTCGAGTACCTCACCACCAAGCTGATGGAGCTCACCAGCAACGCACGCGCTCATAAAAGCACCAACTCTTCAGGGATAGTACTCCCCTGTAACACCAAGTACATTATGGCGTCACACATGGGGGGCACTCAAGGTTGTCGATCTCCTTCCCGGACACCACCAATCTGCTGGAGCTCGCCGGCAACGCACACGCTGGTGTGGCCCTAGCTGGCGCGCGTCCACCGGCGACCCCACCAACATATGTATTTCATAAAAACATGGAAACACTATATTAATCGGTGTGTTTTGTATACAGATTTCACTCTCGCTGCCATGGAAACACAAGCACCGCACCACACCTTACTTGATCATCTGCGAGTGGATGTCCTTGAGCCCGCCCTACTTTCCTCCTTCTTCTCTGGCAAATTCCCCACCCTACGGGCGGCAATCGCGGAACTGGCCGCTAGCGCACCTCCGTAGTGTATGTTACCACCCAATATATGTCTGTTAGTCATCCCTATCAGATACGTGATCAGGACTAGGGCCACACCATCTCCAGCACCGCCTTCCGTCACCCACTTGGATCTTCCTCCCTGCCTCTGTTGCTCCTCTCTGTCCATCTCTTGAAAGAGTCACCGCCGCCGTAGCCTTCTTTAGTTTAGAGCTGGCCTCCGCCCTGGGGCCTTATGTATTATACGGCTTTTAGAGAAAGCTACTTGCCACAGGTAATTTCGACTAGCCCTTCTTGCATTTCTTGTTTCCGGTACATCTTCAGATCTAAATACAAGAAGGGCTAGTCGAAATTACCTGTGGCAAGAAGCTTTCTCTAAAAGCCGTATAATACAGAAGGCCCGGGGCGGAGGCCAGCTCTAGACCGAAGAAGGCTACGGCGGCGGTGACCCATTCATGGGTCCTCTGCCATGCGCGCCCGGGCTTCTCTGCACCCCTCCCTCCCTCCTTGTCCTCACATCTGCCTAGAGTTTGGCATCGCTGGCCACCTCGGCTCAGCATGTATCGCATCTGTGAAGGGCCTATCCTGCATTTATGCCGGACCAACATCGTCCTCCTCGTCTGAGCTGGACTGGAGCAGTGTGTGGACGACGCGGCACTCCATGAGATGGCATCTCCAAGGAGGTGCTTGGCTGGTAGTGGAAGCATGGGAGGGAGGCGCGGGTGACAACTGGCGCCACCATCTTCTCCACTGGCATTGGGCTTGAATCGGGCGATGGTGGATGCCAAAAAGTGCACAAACTCTGTCCTTCAATTTCTGAACCACCTCTACCTCTGTCGATTGATCCTATGGATGATGGAAGAACACAAAGAGATAGAACTCACCACAGAACGATCACGGATAAAAGAATTAACTCGCTACACCAAAGAGAGGTAGCATTGTACCTTCGAACAATTGGTTCAGATCATCCTCAGTCTCAGTTCGGGCTCCTTTGATGAACATGGTCTCATAAAATTCTGTGCCCATCTGACAACAAGAATAAGGAAATGTATGTTAAATTAACATCAGGGTTTTGGCGTACAATTTCAATGAGTCGGACTTGCTAAAATCTGAGAGAGCTTGGATCGCATTTGAACTATATTAATCGGTGTGTTTTGTATACAGATTTCACTCTCGCCGCCATGGAAGCACAAGCACCGCACCACACCTTACTTGATCATCTGCCAATGGATGTCCTTGAGCCCGCCCTACTGTCCTCCTTCTTCGCTGACAAATTCCCCACCCTTCAGGCGGCAATCGCGGAACTGGCCGCGGGCGCACCTCCGTACTGGCCGCGGGCACATGGTATAATAGGGACTTAAAAGCTGCGGGCTGTATAATAAAAGCAACTGAACTGAACTTAAAAGCTACGGTAACCTAACAGCAACGGTGTAGAACCTAAAAGCTATGGTCTATATATTAAAAGCTACATAGCTGAAATTAAAAGCTACGGTCACCTAACAGCAACGGTGTAGAACCTAAAAGCTACGGTCAGTATATTAAAAGCAACAGAACTGAACTTAAAAGCTACGATCACCTAAAAGCAACGGTGTAGAAACTAAAAGCAATAGTCTGTATATTAAAAGCTACAGAACGGAAGGAGCACGAATCCCGCCGGGAGGAGGGGAAACTTCGCTTCGCTGGCGTCGCGGTTGGTCCACCGGTGGCGGCGGCGGGACGAAATGCGGCAGGACGAGGCTCTCCCGCATGGGGACAGTGCGGCGTGGGCGGGATATGGTTGCTGGAGTGCTCGCCGGCAGCGGGCTGTTGCCGCCTTTCTCTAGGGGAGCTGCTGACAAGCGAGCAGACCTCTAACTTATTAGAACAAGTATTATAAGATGATGTAATCGGGCAATAAGTTATACTCCCTCCGTCCGGAAATACTTGTCCTACAAAATGGATAAAATGGATGTATCTATCACTAAATGGACAAGTATTTTTTTTTTGAGGGAAAAAATGTTCTTGACGGGTGATGCTCGCCAAGCAAGCCTAGGGAGTAGGGACGGTGGACAGCGCAGCCAGTCCCGTTGGGCACCATCGGCGCTGTCCACTTGGGTCCATCTGGCCCCGCCTGCCTACTGGCCAATGCGGCGGCGGGGTTCCGCTGCCGCTAGATTCACCGGGACGGGACCGCGCACCGCACGGCAAGTACGCCGCCGCGTCCAACCAACCAACCAGCCACTGTTCCTCCTGCTCGGATCCGGTCACGTTTAAAAAATATCCTCCGATCCAATCGCCGTCCCCGCGCGCGCGCCCCGACAAACCCGCTTCCCTCCCCGCCCGCTCCCTCGTCGCGTCCCTGTCTCCCTCCACCGCCCACTCCTCTTCTCTTCTCATGGCGGCGGCGCGCCCGGCGCTCCCCTCCTCCCCGACCTCGCTGCTGCTTTCGCGGTCCATCTCCGCCCCCGACCTCGCCGTGGCCCCGGCGCTCCGGAGGAACAGACCGACGCGGTGGGTCGTCGCAGCCGCCGTCCCGGCCGTGGCGGGGGCGCTCGCGGCCTCGGCGCCGGTGGGGGCGACGCTGCTGCGGGACGGCGGCGCCACGCTGCTCGTCACGGCCGGGGCCTACTCCCTCGTGCGCGCCTTCGACGCGCTCACCGAGCGCCGCCTCGTCCAACAGGTCTCGTGCAATCCGCTCTCTCGCCCGACCTCCCGTTAGTGCGTGGTGGTAACTCACTGACGATGTGGTCCATTTAGTGAACTTTACCACACCACTCCCTCCGATCCAAACTAAAACCACGGCACTTATTTTGGATCGGAGGGAGTACGTAGCACGCACTAACGTCAATCACTATTCACTAGAGCCTCCCTCTGACCATCTTCTAAGAGAAACATCAATCGATCCAGCACTAGGAAGGTTCCTACGCGCTTACTGAACTTGATTCAGTTACAGGTCGTCCAGATTGAGCTTACCTGTCTTATTCTAAACTAACGACTGAATCTCAGCATGTGCAGTAAAAATTGGTCTAAGTAATTATTTGGATTGATCGAACACGAATGGATTGATAACTAGTAGTACCTCGATTGGGTCCCTGTTTGGTTGCTAACTTGTGGTACTTGTCACCATTGAAGGCAGAGCTTGAGCAGGAAGGTTGTGCACGTGCTATCCGGGGTCTTTTTCATGGCTTCATGGCCACTCTTCAGGTACTCCCCCAGCTGTGTCCAACCTCCTATGCTCAAAATGCTTGCATCAGTAGAGATCTTAAGATAGGCATGCTCTGTTCTTGCAGCAATTCGACCGGCGCACGGTTCTTTGCGGCGGTAGTCCCGTTCCTCAACAGCGCCAGGCTTCTCACCTACGGCCTCGGCTTCTACTCCGACGAAGCTCTTGTCAAATCTGTGACCCGTGAAGGAAAACGAGAGTAATTAATCCCAATGTGCCAGCGATGATATTCAGTTGTGATCCTCTGTTCTTATTTGAGACGGCGCCTCCCTGATACAATCTATTACGGTCTCTGGCAGGGAATTGCTGCGAGGCCCTCTCTACTATGTCATCGTGCTACTGATCATTGTTCTAGTCTTCTGGCGGGACTCCCCGATCGGGATCGTCTCCTTGTCAATGATGAGCGGCGGCGACGGTAAGACCGAAATGGTTTACTGCTCCTTTAACACCCCATTATACTTGACAATCTGTTCATTTCACTGAGTTTCTGCATCTGCTTGGATGTTGGCTTCACAGGCTTTGCTGACATTGTCGGGAGAAGGTTCGGCTCGCTGAAGCTGCCATTCAACGACAAGAAGAGCTGGGTCGGGAGCGCCGCGATGTTCATCTCCGGGTTCCTGCTATCTGCACTGTAGGGTTCTTGCGACGCACTCCCGTTGTCATAGACAGAATATCGCACGCGTTGCTGATGTATTCTCTCTGTTTTCTTGTTGCAGGATGCTGTCCTATTTCTCGTGGCTTGGTTACATCCGTGTCAGCTGGGATCAGGCGATTGGTAAACTGGTTCTCGTTGCGCTGGCAGCCACTGTGGTGGAGTGTATTCCTGTAACTGATGTTGTAGATGACAATATCTCTGTTCCCTTGGCCACCATGTTGGTAGCCTTTCTGTTGTTTGGCAACACTGCAAACTGAATATATGAACAAATGTTTTGAGCCCCTCCTGTACTGGCACCAGAAGTTCTCTCATCTCCCTTTTCCCCTTTGAAGCAAAAAAATAGGCATCAGGACACCCATGTCTAAACATTTGTTATTTTGTTTTCAACAATTTGTACCAATATACATCAATCCGTATCCAGCCTTCTCAATTCATTCCAAATGGACAATTTCTTCAGTGAACAAACAAACCCCGTACAACAACTCATGGAGCAATATGGGAAATCATTCCTAAATAGTGCAAAACGGATGAAGAAGCTTTGGCCTACTGTTACATGCTCATATTTGCAACTACCAGGGAAAAAATTAATTGACTTGCAGTCCGCTGAGCTTTTCGTGGAGGATCGGTGGCTAAGAGAGATGGTCAGGTACAATGGCACCGAAGTGGGATCGATGCGCCTTCAGGCTTCCGCTTCTCCCGGGTGACTGCTTCTTGAATCATCGGCAACTTCTGATGAATCTTCTTCCATATGTGGTTCACAGCACCATTTTCTGGGTCAGAGTCCTTGCTACTATGGTGACTGTTTTCGTACTCAAAGATATGCTGGACTCCAGCCAGGTTTCTTCTGAATTCATCCTTCTGCTGCTTGGAGATATTCCTTAGGTAGTTCGTTAGCCATTTGGGTCTCATTGCGTTACCGACTGACACAAAAATGGAGAATTCTGTGTAGTCTATCATCCCTTCGAAAGGAAGCTCAATGTCATCGCTGACAATGACGGGTATGCAAAGACTTGCAACAGCGTCAAAGAGACGGCATGAACTTGGGGTGTCACCAGCTGGGTGCAAGCAAAACTCTGATGTCCGCATCCCTTTTATTGATTGCTCACGTCCTGTGGCATTAGGAAAACCTTCTTCCATGACAACATCAGGCTCGTTAACCATCAAGTCCCACAGTTTTTCACGCACCAAACCACCCTGAAAACAAATAAACGGATTGATCAGATAAATGGCTTTAATTATTATTTTGCAAGCAGTATAAGCTAGGCTGAAGTTAGTTATGATTCCCTCAGATATACAAAACAACGGAACAACCTAGTGCTAGTTTAATCATGTGTTTCTATTGTCACTATTGATCTTTACAGAGAACCTCAGGAGTTCTACAAATGTACACTGCATAAGCGATAAAGTCCTATAAGCAAAATGATTTTCAGTGTTTTTTAGGCACAATGCTTCAAATGATACTTCCTGGAATAAATTTAGATGTGGAAAAGAGAGGCAAACATCTATATTTGAAAAGGCTAGCCTCACATATAACAGAGACCTAGAAGATTTTTAAGTAGAATGAAGAATTTACCATATGTTTATTCTTTTTATTTAGAGAGCCAGTTTCAGATAATACATAGGTGATAAACAATTTCAGGAATTTCAAAGCTGATTACAGATAAAAACGATATAACCCAGGGTCAAGAAGTAAATTACAAACACTATATGTACATGTTTGACCGCCTTTCTATGAAATTAATGATGAAATGCAAGTGAGTAGCCAAGTACAAGATGTAATCCAGATAGCAGATAAACCTTTCCTAATATAATGCATAAAACAGGAGCTTTATTTTATGATTAATAGTACAAACCCGATGCCTGTGCTTGGCTCCCTTGAAGTACAGAAGAGTGGGGCGATCCATATTTTCTGATAGGTGCAGGGTAGGCAGCAAATGTGTGTAAGGCACAATGACATCTTTCAGCAATGACACTTGAGTGTGCTGTATCATATGAGAAGAGTTGCCGCCTGCAGATTTTGAATCGAGTTTGTACCACCCGCCAAAATCAACCACCAGTAGAATTGCTGGAGCAATCTCCGCCCGGACATGCCACATTGCCATAGGGTCTGTCAAAGAATGCCTCAGTATTTAACACGACCTGAGCATCCAAAAGAAAAATAAGCTGCTAGGCAAATCAATCTTCACCAAGACATAAACAATACACCAAATGCTTCAGCTTCACTTCACTTGCATAAAAGTACAATGTTTCTCTCCTTTACTGAACTGTGCTAATATTAGTTTCTCTCCTATTTTTCTAACCTATACTGAGCTGCTCTACTAGGCACACACAGACTTGCATGATCCACATAGGTTTCTTACTAACTAGTGCGATTTCATAGTAAGTCACTTCCTTGGCTGAGAAAACCATCAAGAAACCATGAAACTTAACCAGCTATGCTAACCTTGATTCAAAGTATGCAAACATTCTTTCTAATTTCTCTCTGGATTAGTGCATTACAACTTTACAAGGATAGGATTCGCAATTCCCCACCGGCCCAGCCTAATTACCTGTGAGGACGAAGACGTGGTCGCGGCCGCCGGACCGGCGCCAGGCCGGGTGCGCGGTGACGCGGTCGACGACCTCCCGCTGGCGGCGGTAGTCACCATTCCCCTCCTTCCTGCGGAAGGCGCCCTTGGTGGCGCCCCAGCCGAGCTCCATCTCCGCGGAGAGCGTGGCGAAGAAGGGGACGAAGACGACGTCGGCCTCCCTCCAGTCGGCGACGACCCTCACCACCGCGGACGCGGGGGCGGCGGGGCCGAGGAGGGAGCACAGGAGCCAGTACTCGGCGCTGTACTGCCTGATGAGGGGGCTGGCGGGGTAGGGCGGGTGGCCGCGCGGCGGCGGGTGGTCCGGGTCGGAGGAGGCCGGGATGCGGGCGTCGGCGGCCGGGAGCGACCAGTAGAGGTCGAGCAGGCCGTGGTTGAGCGCGCGCGGGAGGTCGGCGACGTAGACGCTCAGGCGGCGGCGGTGGCCGGGGCCGGGGTCGGTGGTGCGCGCGGAGGGGAGGAGGGGCGGGGAGGAGGACGGCCTGAGGAGGAGGAAGGAGAGGGAGAGGAGGAGGACGGCCGGGACGGCGAGCAGGGCCGGGCGCTTCATCGCCGCCCGCCGGATCTCGCCTGAGATGGGAGGCGGCGGCATGGTGGGATGGGAGGGAGAGGGGTGCCCTCCGTGCCACGCTTCGCCTGAACTTTTCAAGTATCTGAATTCGAAATTCAGTTCGGCATTCATGATGAAAACTCCACAAACAAATATACTTCTTGCTATTGTGTCTTCAAGTCACACTTTGCAATTTTGTGTAACTTTGTTAGATAATGGAAGCTACATTGAGAATACACACACCCCGGGGACAGAGACAATATGTCCATTTATAAATTTATACTCCCTCCGTCCCAAAATAAGTGTCTTAAACTTAGTACAAATTTATACTAGAGCTAGTACGAAGTTGAGACACTTATTTTGGGACAAAGGGAGTAATACATTATACATACATACATAAATACATAGAAGAAAACAAAAATATTTGAATATGAGTCCAAATACTAGACCAAAATACACCTACCTCCCAACGTGATGCTTTCTCCTAGTAATAATGCCCCAAGAATCATGGTGGAGACAATTGATAATGTGCTAAACATTGATAGAAATACAGGGCCCCACTTTTCCACAATATATAGATTCAACCAATACTTAGCGGTTGTGCCAAGTCCAGCCTACGTTCAAAATCAAGTATGTGCCAATTATTTCATATTGTTTTTAACTGTCAAGTTAATAAAGAAATAGAAACAAATGCTTTTAATATTCAGCATCATGAAGGGGTTGGATCTCGAACCATATAGGAAGTCCTCGTAAGCAAGTTTTTACAATTTTGAACTAAGTTGACATTTAACTTTTAACAATGATATGCCCATTGGGATCCTTGGATTCATAGCATTTTTATAGGAATTTTGGAGGATTATAATCCTTAGGAATTCTTCCTATGTTGCTTGTTTATTCATAGGACTGAATTCTATAGGAATTTTTCATAAGGATTTCTTTGTACAATTTCCCGTAGGATTTCTAGCATGCACTCAAACCTCTTTGAAAGAATACTTTGTTTTTCCTCTGATGCAATCAAACCAAAATCCTATAGAATAGAGATGAGCATGCCATTCGAATACTTATTCACATGTTCTTATAATCCTGCGAATCAAATAGGCCCTGATTCTAGTAGATAGAATAAATGTTGAATACACCACAAAATACTCTCTAACCAATCTTTTCCTTACAAGTTCTCCCATATCTACAATCAGAACCTATCTTTCTTGGGTTGCTTGATTTTTGCTCGGTAAACTAATATTAGCTTATACATATAGTGGAATTATCAATTAGATTTGACAAAGTAATGAAAATTCAGGCAATAGTAAGGGATTTGTAAAATTGAACACATTCTGGAAAAGACTTACTGAGTAGACAATTGCTAATAGTTGAATGTTCCATCCTACTTGCCAAGCAAGTTGTCCCTTCATAAAAATATTCCTATGGCACATATTTGCAAATCACCAAGAATACAGGTCAATATTGATGACCAATGTTTACGTGGGTACACCTTTAAGTACTCTTCACTGATACCGGTCAAGAACAAGGATAAAAAAAATTCAAATATTGTTATGCCAATTAGGGGAAATCATAGATACAAGCCTTAGTACAAAAACACAGCACAAGGATGA